TCGAACGAGAATTAAAAAAAATGTGTTGAATAGGTTGATATCTACTTGCAGTCAAAGTGTCATATTAATATATAGAATATTATTATTCTAAGATAGTGAAACACACTCAATGATGAATTTCATTAGTTCGGACTTCCATTGTCTGATATTATATAAAATTATTCGAAATCCCCGAAAGGACTGATAAAAAAAAATCAAAATGAATAGCTGAAAATAACAATTATATTAAGTAAAAAAACCTGAAATGAAATAATAGTGAAATAAAATACAAGTAAAAATAGAACAATTGAACAAAAAATTGAAATAAAATAAAAAGAGATTCCAAGCCAAGTTACTTCACGACGTTTCGAATTGTTACTATCCACAATCGTCTTCGGTTGATGACTGGACTAATTCCTCCGAGAGATGACTATTTATGGGTCATTGGAGTACTTTCACTTATCTCCGCTTTCCTTTTTCCGCTTCACCGGTTAAGTGGTAGTTGGCCGTTTGGCGGGAGTTGGCAATTTTTCTCTTGATTATTGGTTTCCATATGTTGCGTATCTCTACGCTAGCTTGGCTCGTTATTTTTCTCCGTAGTGTTTTTCTCAGTTTTAAAATGGGCTATGAGCCTTCTCAATTATATTATTATCATCTCATTAAAGTCAAGGCAGTAAATTGAAGAAAATGAAATAAGTGAAATATGCAACCTTTCGAAGGATTAATAATACAAATTCATCAATAAGAATAGAGAGCATAACAAGAATTATAAAAACATCACAGAAAGTATGGAAAAATGTTTGGAAAAACGATTCAAATAACAATACTTGATACTAATACCAACTTTGACAACGATAACAACATCAACAATCGAAAGTGTTTCCTTTCAACGAATTTGTTCATCCACGATGTAAGCTGTTTGTGAAGTGTCGGTAAAAGTTATTTCAATAGTGAATATCCAACATCCTACGACAAAGTGAAAGAAAACTATTTCCAGATTTGAGCAAAGCAATTTCACAGCTAACCAATATTCTACCAAACAGGACCGATAAACTCCTGTCAACAAGGTTAGGTTAGGTCCGATTCAAAATGAAAGATCTTATCCTACAAGTTACCTGACTGCTTACACAAGAGAACTCTTGCCTAAGCCTAACTGCTTAGCTAGGTTGAAAAAATGCCTTCGTTCTACCAAGAAAAGTTTTGATCATCTGATTATCTGTTTTAGATAATTGCTTCTCGAAATTGTTCCGTTACCCCATTCATCCCATCACAAAAGTGAATTGTAGTGAATCCGTCTTCAAAGTACGATTGAAGGAAATTTTTATAAGCACTCTAATTAGTAGCTTTAGAGTCACCATATTCTACTATTGGTCTTGGACCTGTTTCAATATCAAATAGAATGTGTATATGGTCCGAATCGTAACCCACTGCCGTAACTTCTCAGAGAGTATAAGCTGATGGCGCATATTCAATATTACGGAATACAAGAATAGATAAACTTCAACAACTATACATTAGTTAAGTGAATTATATTAGAAGGACTATGACTTAATTCATAGGGCGTGGCCACTATGACGTTTTATGTAAGAGATAACTTCTGCAGTTAGGCATTTGTGATTCACTTAGCCATTGCTTGTTGCATTGTGCTTGAAACTACGTTATTTCAGAGTTTGTATCGTAAATTCAACTTCCTGGAGGAAATCAACAGGTCAAAATCAATTACAGTAATTTAAGACATTTTATTTTACAGAACTCTGGTGGTATGCGACTTTAAACTCTTTCAAGTTGTAATCCTATGCAATAGTGTTAGCTCGGATCTTTACCACGTTTTCTTATCAATTATCAAAAGCCCACCGTTGAAGTGAGTTGTTTATCGTAGGTTACAGATGAAGTATTCAGACAATATGGATATCTGAAAATTTGAATAACACTTATAATCCTGCAGTTTATCAAATATTACAACTTTTGAAAAGATCTGAAAGTCCTGTGGAAAATATGGTTTTCCTTCACACGAATCTGCACTTTTCCAATTTTTTTTTTCATATCAATTTGTCAAACTATGTTCAATATATAATTACCAGATTCTATTGAAGTTAGCTTTTCACTAATTATATTCCGATAACTTGAAGAAACGGTAGGCCCTAGTCGAATAGAACCTAAAGTACCAAACGTTTCGTCTGCTACAGCAGCAGACATCATCAGTGGTATGTACGTTGACTGCGAGGACGAAGGTTATATCTTGAAATTTCAGCAACGACCAACTTTTCCAAATATTTTATTCATTATATTGTAACTCGCATATGTTGCCATTATTTCAATATAATTTCAGTTTCAATTTCTACCGATGTGAAAGTTATCCAAATGCTTAGAGAGATGGTAGTTGCTGGTCTGGCTTCCTGGTCATATTGACTTGGAAGGCAATGAGGCTGCTGACTCCTTTGCAAAGGATGATGCTGCAAACAGCTTCATCGGACCAGAACCTGTCATTGACATCGCTTTAGGCTTCGCCAAACAAAGATTGAACACTTATATGGCAAGAAAATTTAGGGACTTCTGGTGGAATCTTACAGGATTGGCTCAGTTCAAGGCGTTTATTCACCCTTCGATGCTTGACACCAAGAAGTTGTTAGAGTATAGTAGCAGCAGAGCATATACTTTGTGCCTGCCCCCTGGGGACCAAATCAGGTTTTTAGAGTTTGACAGAGCCGTATTCTTACCATCTGACCTAAAGATCCTTCATCCTCGTAGAGTAGGATCAGACTTCTTCTGCTGACCAGTTTCGGCTGCTGCTGACGCATTTTTGGTACATTTAGTTGATTTCTTCACAAAAGGTATCTGCTGTGATGGTTTTGTCCAGTTGCAGAAAGTTATAGTGAATCACACCAGCCGCTGACCACCATACAGTAACCATGGTCTTTTTTTGGGGGGTTCACGCTTTTGGAAAGTGCCTGGGTGGCTCATTGTTTTGTACAGTTCGGATTGTACATTATGAAAATTCTCTGTTCTTCTTTCTATTACCGTCTTTCGTGTTTCCGCCAGAGGTTGGAGTGTTAGCTTGGAGCAGCGGTCGTCACACTTTTCTGGCCAAGGGACACACAGGACAATGTGGGTGTCAGCGCCGGGCTGCAGAGTATGTGACGGCTGCAAATTGAGTCGCCCGACAGCCGCGCGTCTCTTTTTAATATGGAAGTCTTGCGGCAGCTGCGCGACCTAATGTGAAGGCTCTCTAAGAGTGTTTGCTCACTTATATGTAATCAGTTCATTTCGTTATTAATCATTTCGTCATGTGTAGAATATAACATCGTTCAAATGTCCGCCACTGCGGAGCGCATCCGAAACGTCCAATTTTCCATGACTCTGGCACATAAATCAGGCATGGATTCTGTTAGCTTTGAAGACCGCTGTGATCTGTGGCTTATTTGCATACACCTGCAACTTGAGAAAACGCCGCAAGAAAAAGTCTAACGGAGTCAAATCGCACGATTTTGGTGGCCAATTCACATCACCTCCACGTGAGATTACCATATCCTAAAATCGCTCGTACAGATTATCCAATGTGATATGAGCTGTTTGGCATCTAATTCGGTCAAAAAAAGTTGGTAAGCATCGACCTATAGTGCTCGCAGTTGACAGTGATGGCCTGGCCGTTCTCAAAGAAATGTGGATCGATGACGCCTCCAGCCCAAAATCTACTCCAAACAGTGACATTTTCGGCATGCATTGGACGCGTTTATATCTCATGTGGGTTAGTATTGTCCCAAATTTGATAATTCAGAGAACACACGTTGTTTTATATGGTCGTTTACCTTCAGTTCTTGGGTGCAGGCCCAAATCACGACACAAAATTCAACAATTTGTGGTCTGCGAGAGGCAGGGTTCTTATGAGCGACGCGAATTCGACTGCCTCAGATTCTCCTGCACACTCTCACAGACAGCGCCGATATTTTCAGCAGATCTTGTGTTTCCTCGACGTACGGGTATTGGTCAATCGTTCACTGAACCAGTTAGACGATTATGGCGACCGTAAAATGTGCGAAGCGCGCTGTACGTTGTTCGAACAGAACACCCATTTCGATAAAAAAAATATGTGCACGTGTTGTCGAATGCTATAAATGATAACTAATTTGACAGATATAGCTTCAACAAGATGGCTGTTATCAATTGTCAAGGTTCGAAATGCTCTGTTGGAAGACCCTGTATATAAATGTTTATAATTTTTTTATGTGGATTATTCATTGAATAAAAGATTCAGTGGTTTATTTATCTTGGCAATGTATTGCTATTAATTTGTGAATTTTAATAGTCCGTATGAATATCAATTAGGATAGGTTGTTCGTTTTTTTTTTGCTGAAACATCGTTAACTTCATTATAATGCGCTCTTTCATTGTTTATGCTGCTTTAATGTAATTCACATTCTCATCATTAACTCCGATTAGCAGAAAAAACACACTTTAATCCAGTCGACATTTTTTATCACAGCGATAAATGCATATTACTGGTGGATAATTGCTTTTTCAACTTGTATTGTTGAAGAACGAAATAAAAAACACAATAACCTTATTTATATCTTCAGAAATATTCACTACAACTACCTGTTTGAGATTGTGTACTAAAAGAAGACCACTTCATTATAACTTCAGAAAGTTCATAGAACAAAACATTAATTACAATAATTTCATATATGTTCAAGGCTGTGCCCAGGGATTCATTTCGGGTGAGTTATAAATACGAAGTGTTTGAAAATTAAACTTCCGCGACTTTTTTTGTTAAGATAACGTGTTAAGAAACACGTGTTAAGGTGTTAAGGTTAAGGTTAAGTAAATGGAGGATGGCGCTCAAACTCGGCGTAAGTATAGAGGACAGTCCTGCCAACCTATCTACAAAAATAATTTCGACAATCCTTTCCCGCGGGCATTTAAAATGATCAATTTCCGGTAATGTCTTGACAGATGAACCTTGCATGGCTAATGATTATTTCGATATATGTTGTACATTGAATATCCAATTTTCAGGGAATCATAAGGTATTTGTTTAATTCGCAATATTTTTTTTCAGAGGAATAGCTGTAGGTATCTACACAACAAACTCCGCTGAGGCATGTTATTACTGTGTAGAAAGCAGTAATGCCAATATAGTAGTTGTAGAAGATGAAAAGCAGCTGGAAAAAATTCTATCAGTTCGTTCAAGGCTGCCAAACGTCAAGACTATCGTGCAATATACGGGAGAACCCCCAAACCATCCAGATATTATCAGTGTAAGAATTACTAATATTGTTCTGCGTCAATATGAAATGTATGGTTTTTGTGTTGCAGTGGAAGAGATTAATGGAAATTGGTGAACAGCAGACAGATGATTTATTAGAGGATGCGTTGAAGCATATTGGTATTAATCAATGTTGCACGCTGGTTTATACGGTAATACTTTTTTTTTGGTATATTTCATATAATTCGGGATTAATTGTATTTGTTTAGATTTAATCTCATACTTTTTGGTAGCCTGAAACGGGTGAAGATTATGTACAGGATTAGTAGATATCATATCACTACTTCAGTTCTAGTAAATTGATGGATGTAGCCGTTACTACGTGGTAGGAAATCATAATAAAGAAAAGAGAAATGTACGGAAGCGCAGAAGGGTCACATATTTTTATTATTTGTTTCTTGGAAATTACAACTTTGAATCTCGAAATTTCGACTTTTATCTCGAAATTTCGACTTTAAAGTCGAAATTTCGAGTTCAAAGTCTATGTTTTTTACCACTTTTATTTGCAACTAACGTTACTGCAGTTTTGTCCTATACGGACATTTTCAAACTCACACAATAAAAATAGGACGAAACTGCAGCAACGTTATAGAACAGCAACAAATAGAAAGTTTCATTTCTCTTTTCCTCAGTTGTAGTATTTACTGATATTAAAAAAACCTTTGTGCTTGTATTAATTTCAATAATGAATCCCGATATATTGAACTTACACAGCTGATCTCAAAACGTATTTCAGATTACTATTTGTAAACCAGAAGAAAAATAGCCTAGGTAACCACATGTTACAAAATTCACTGAAATAAATATAATTGTCCGTATCTCAATTGCTTATAAAAATGTGTTCCTCCTCAATTATTCGAAACACCTTTAACTTTCGTCAATTTTCTTATGGAATTGTAAGATATTTTGTAATTGTGAATATGAGAGTTCAGAGAGGGTAACTGTGTAAAAATATCTTGTTTTTCTCATGTATACCTCTTTGGGAAATAATTATTTATAATAGTGTGGTTGACAACTTGGGACAATTTTAAGCGCAGAAGTGGTGATCATTTCCTCTCATTTTAAAGGCTATTAAATTGATCATCAGACAGCAGAAAAAACAGATCACAGTTCTTTTTGATCAAAATGATTTTATTTCCTCCGTTCTAGTACTAACGAGTTTCACTGGTGAGGAGAAACTTTAACCCGTCTTACTATGCTTGATAACAGTGAGGCATTCGCCCATTCAACCATGAATTGTTTTTTGACAATTTCACATTTCTTGGCTGACGATTCTCAGCTATACTACAGTTTCAAGTCTCAAGAACTAGAAAATGCATGTGCAGTTATAAATGAGGATTTAGGAAATTTTATCAGTTATGCCACTGATCACTGCCTGCTTCTTAATGCAACAAATCTAGTCATGCTGTTTGGAGGTAAATATCATAGACAAACCTTACCTGTGGATATTAATATTAATATAAATAATGAGCAATAGCGTTAGTGGGTGAAACAAAAAATCTAGGCGTATTATTGGATTCTGGCTTAAGGTTTGAAAAGCATATCAAAATGTAGATACAGCGTACTTATTCTAACATCAAGTTGATTTATGGAAACCGACATCTTTTTCCAATAAACATAAAACACTAGTTTTGTCATTATTTAATTACGCGGATGCTCTGTATGGACCTAATTCAACTGTAGAATATAAAAACCAAATTCAGAAACAGAATATGGAGNGTGATATTTCCACTTGGAAGTGAATCACACGTTAAAAAGTAAGACCTCGTTAATCCTCAGATTGCACAAGTTTCGACTTTTGAGGGTTGTCGTTAGTAGGGGTGCGACAGCTGGTTAACGGAAAAACAGATTTTTTTATCCCAATGGGAATTACTACATTTAAATTTTCGATAAATCTAGTATTTTTTATATTTTTGCTATAGTAAAGATGTTTATTATTATACATCCATATAAGACAGTGATAAATATAGGTAAATACATCTTATGTTATACAACTTGGTTTCTTTATAGAGCTGTTCTGTTGAGTAAGAGTTTTTTCCTAGGAATTATTATACTATTATATACTATTTTGCATGGCTTGAAGACGGTACAGGTTGCAGTCAAATGTGCCACCCCACTCAGAGATACAATATCTAATAATTGATTCTGCTAAAGATCTATATACCGCCATTAGATTTTTAATGTTTGAGATTTCTCTCAAATTATACATTTTGTGAGTGAGCTGGCGGAGTCGCTATGTAACATATATGGTATGTTCGTCCTATCTGATCCAGAACTACATCACGAAAATATTTTAACTTTGATTCATTTTTTATCCAAGGGCAATCATATTGCTTCCTTTGTGGACATTCAGAGGTATGTATTTTTAGGGCATTGTCAATTGGTTGATCGTTTTTGAGAGGCATGAAACAAATGAATTTGGTTTTATTAAGATTCAAACTGAGGAGATTGTAGTTCAGCCATATCTGTATATTCTTCAAACCATTTGCTGCTGTTTGATATACTTGTTGCCATGTTTTTCTAGAAGAAATGATTGTAGTGTCGTCTGCATATTGATTTTTCGAAAAATTTTATTGCTTGAAACCCCCCCTTTTTTACTAAATTTTTTATGAGTTTCGCAATTTTTTAGAGCCCTTTTTGAAATTTGTCAATTTGTTGCTAGAGGTCATTCCGAATCGAATTTTCGGTGCCCTTGGACATAAGTTCTAAAAAAAGGATCTTGCCACCGAGACTATATAGGAGTGATCGTAAATAATATGCGGTGTGTAGCAACAGTTAATGTTGAAGAACAATAAAGAACGCAATTCCAAGTTGAAATAATAGTTAATTTTACCGAATTGTTTACCTATTCAACTGTACAATAACCTAGTATGAACAATTAGTTCATAAGTTATGTATTTCCAACAAGTATTCGCCAATTCCATTACACGTCCTATTTTTCAGTCGGGAACTGTTGGAAACCCCAAGGGAGTGATGCTGAGTCACGATAACTTCACCTGGGATGCACTGGCGATCTTGGAGAGACTGAGAATTCAGAAGGGAACGAACGAAACCCTAGTGAGTTATCTTCCCCTCAGTCATGTCGCAGCTCAAACGGTCGACATATACATCGCTATATTGGCTGCTGGAGCTATATATTTCGCAGATAAGGATGCGTTGAAAGGGAGCCTGGTGGATACCCTCAAAGAGGTCCAACCTACTAAGTTCTTGGGAGTTCCGCGAGTCTACGAGAAGATCTACGAAAAGATGATGCAGGTAGCTGGTCAAAACGGATATTTGAAGAGAGCCATTGCCTCGTGGGCTAAGGGACAAGCTTTGCAGCATCATCTTGATGCGATGGATGGGTGAGTGGACTTTTGAATGATAGTTCTCAATATACNGATCTAGAAGGATATCCATGGCCGCTGACGGTGTGGTACTGATGGTACTACTGATGGTCAGACAAGCCTGTCTTTGTAAGCCAGAGAGCTTCGCCTGGGCCGTTTTCTGTACAGCCTTCGGCCACCAGGCAATTGCACCATAAGCGATCATTGGTCTGACAATCATCACATAATGGATTTGTTTGGGACCCAAACCCCAAGTTTTACCACAAATCTTTCGACATGTCCATAGGAACAGTCCGGCTTTGTGTAAACATTTTTTCAAGTGAGCGTTCCAGGTGAGTTTTTTATCAACTGGTGATCATGTAATGAAATGGAGTGAAACAAGAACAAGGAAATATATCTGTTTCCGGTTAAGGTTTTCGGTAGTAGTGCATTTTTGAGATTTTGAAAATGAAAGGGAACTCCTTTCGAAATAGTAACCTTCTAAACGAATCAAAGTATATAAATTTAATGTTTTTCATAATTATTACCAAGTCTTAGTACTCTCTTGTTGATGATAATTTCGTTAGCAAAACGCGCGTTAAAATACATAAATTTTGTTATGGTGAGGCAGGGGAAAAGGCAGGGGAAAAAATTCAAAATCGTTGAAAACAATATGACTGGCATATTACTGTGAAGTTTACAACATGTTAGGTTGAGTCCTTTCGAATAAAAGTATTACCTTTTTTCCCCGTGGCTGGCACCCATGTTGGGATATTTGAAGATCGTTCCTTATTGCACATCTAGAATATAAAACGAAACTACATACAAAATTTCAGCCTTCGAAAATATACCGGTACGGAGAAACAGTGAAGAAAAAGTAACTGTTTTATGAACGCTCCTTTTTTCTCCGCGACTGGCACCCCAGTTGAAATATTTAAAAATCTTTTCTTATTGCACATCTACATATTCATCTACATCTACATCCACATTTACATCTACAACATAAAACAAACTACATACAAAATTTCAGACTCCGAAAATATAGCGGTACGGAGAAACAGTGATGAAAAGTAATTTTCATAAATGAAGGCGCCCTTTTTACCCCCACGGGGGGCTCTCCAGTTGATTATTTGAAAATCCTTTCTTATAGTTAGGTCAGTTTAGACATTCGAAGCTACCTAAATTCCTACCAAGCTGAAAATCAGTAAGGTTGTTTAATATATGATTGAAAATAAAATTTGAGAGTTTCCCATCTTTCCCATGTATGGAAAACATTTTATTGAAGGTCAAAGGTCAAAAAAAGAGTTTTTCACGATTTTCAACAAAACGGTAAGTTTTATCTTAAAAATACCTCAAGCAAAAATTGTATATCATAAAGTCATCTACAAAAAACGCATGAATAGTTTCTTCCTACAAGCCACCGTTTTCGAGAATATATAACGATTCAAAAAGTTGTAATCATCATAATATGCACACGTTTCCACGCCACCCATGAAGTAGTGTACTTTGTGCGTTTTTTTAAAGTGGTTTCCCAGTAGGCCTATTCCAAGGGTCAGTTGTGATCCTGTTTAATTTGAAACTATTGCAAAATAATGGATATTAGCAGAGATTGAAAAGATAAAAGCAATTTGAGTTAAAAAAAGTAGTAAAATGTAATCGTCAGAGTCGTAACTTTCAAATTCTTCTTCTTGTTCTCCTTCTTAATCTTCTTGTTCATCTTGTTCTTGTTCTTCTTCATCCTAAGTACATGTAAACTGCGTTAATAGCGATGTATCACATGTCGCCTCGTTGGAATCAAACGGATCCTCCACGGTTGGTGATTCAATATTAGAGCACGATCAGCCTTGACAGTGTGTACANTACTCAGTGAAGACACGCCCGAAGAAGCCATTGTATGGCGAAACACGTGTTGCATTTTCGTAAATCTGTTTGGTGAAAATTTCACAATGAAGTTTGCTTAAAAACGCCTTTTTCCAGGATAAAGTCAAATTCGTATGGATATCGACTGGCCACCTCGTTGATATTCTCAAAGATCAAAGAGGCCCTTGGCTTCAGACGCTGCACTTTCTACGCTACTGCCGCAGCTCCGTTAGCCAACGACATCAAAAAGTACTTCTGCAGCATCGACATACCGATAATGGATTGTTTCGGAATGTCCGAGGCCAGCGGCGCGCATACGATCTGTATTGAGGGCGCTACCAACTTGGATACCATCGGTATGCCCTTACCAGGGGTGAAAACGAAACTCTTCAATGAAGAAAACGGACAGGGCGAGATTTGCATGTACGGCAGGCACGTTTTCATGGGATATTTGAACGAGCTTGAAAAGACGGCGGAGACTTTGGATAGCGATGGGTGGCTGCATACCGGTGATTTAGGTCGAATTGATGAGAAAGGGTTCGTGTACATCACAGGTGAGTAAAGCTAGTAAACAAAATTGAACCAATTTCGTATTCAAAAAACACATTTTAATGTGATATTTCCACTTGGAAGTTTACAAAACCGCGACACGTGTTTCGCTATACAATATCATCTTCGGGCGTCACAATACTGTTTGTACGTATTATGAATCATTATGAATATTACCACCTGCCAAATTCATTGCTTAAACTATTTAAATATCTAGGAACAACTCATAAGACTGGAGAATAATAAATAAACATTTATCTGAGTTATCATTTTAGCTACTTCAAAGACCTGTCCTAATTACCAATTTCCTCGTTGCAAAATGAATTCACGTCTTTATTCTTCCAAGAAAAGTTCTTCCGGTTTGTCCAATATACAATTTTGGACAAGATCTACAAGTGAATTTGTATTGTCTCGATTTAACCGACACTGCAGTTTTAGTGATATAAAAGATATTATTTAATAAATATTTATTTTCATTAGATATAAAAATTTATTTCAAATTTCAACTAAATTTTTTCTGAATATTACTGGAGTTTTTTCC